TCCTCTGCCCGCCGCACCTTGAGCTCACCGTTCTCGTCGGTCTGGCAGACGGGGAAGGAGGCGGCGAAAAAGGTGTCGCCTGGGGGCGGCTCGTTGACGGTGTCGACGTCCTGGTGGTCGGCGACCGCCGTAGCCTGGACTCCTCGCAACCATTCCGGCGGGCGTGTGGGTCCTATCACCCGGCCCAGCCTCTTCTCGGCGATGAGCTCGAGGAGGAGCTTCTCCGAGTGCTCGTCGACCCGCGCCGTGTTGACCTTCTTGCGGACGTAATCGGCGTTGGTGGCGATCAGGTTGGCGATGGGCACCGGGTTCTGATATTTCCCGTCCTCGCGTCGCCGCCACCCCGGGCCTGGCCGGATCTCGCCGAGCATCTGGAAGCCGTCGGTCATGTCCTCGGTGAGCGCCGTGAGGTCCGGGTAGCCCAGCCGCCGCAGAAGTTCCAGGAACGCCAGGACCTGCGTCGGTGCCGGCTTGTCCGGCGTGGAGTAAGTGGCTCGAACCCACGAGGGGCGCGCCGCCAGCCACGATCTGGACTCCTCGTCGAGGTCGTCGATCAGTAGGTGGACCTCGGCGATGACCTCCCGTCTGATTCGGACCAAGTCGTGCTTCCATGTGCGGCGTAGCCCCAGTAGAAGTTCCCACGCCGGTTCCATTGGCGGCGGCGTCGCCAGTGGGTGTTGGAGAGCCCAGGATGCCTGCCAGTGCGCCTCCTCGTCGAGATCCTGGAGGTGCGCCATCGACGGTTTGGCCGGCGCCGGTCCCATCGGCGGACCACCCGGTCCCCATAGTGCGGCGACCCACTGGATGGTGGACGTCTGTGGCGCCACCGGGATCGCCGTGGCCTGTGGCAAAGACGCGGCGGTGTGGACCAGAAGTGCCAAGAGCAGCCGGCGGGCGACCCCCCAATGCCACCCGTTACCCAGAAGGCGGTGGCGGGTGCGGGGCTCGAGGTCGCCTTGCGCCGTTCTCGCCGTGAAGTTCTTCGGCATGTGGTGAAGCTGTTCCTTGGCGACCGGCGTCAGTACCACCAGCTTCCCCTGGTCGTCGGCGAGCATTGCCTCTCGCTGGTAATGCCACGGCGCGAACTGGCGGCTGTCCTGGAGCCAGCGCTGCTGAACATCCGTCGTGACCTTGCCCCGCATGGATCGCGGCGGTGGTCGTCCCCTCTCGTCGGCCGCCGGCGTGGTAGAGCAAGGAAGGCGAATGCGACCAGATGCCACCGCGTCGGAGAACTTGAGGCCGTCGAGGTCGAAGCTGTCCGGCGCCGCCCGCGGCGAGTCCAAGCGAAGGCGGTCCCAGCGGCGGTGCAACACCCAAGTCCACCGTTCCGCCGTTGACGGGTCGTGTGTGACCTCGTCCCAGTCGATGGACGTCCACCACAGGCGTGGCCGTCCGATCCATCCGAAGTCCGCCGCATCGGCGAAAATCGGCTGGCAGCCAAGCTGCTTGGATGCCTCCGCCGCATCGGCCGGCGTCATTTCGACGTTCTCCACCAGGAAGCCAAAGCGTCGTGGTGCCAGTCGGCGGCGGAGCCCGTCCAGGAATTCCGCCGTGAAGTTGAAGAGGTACCCTCTGTTCCCGGCGTGACCGTCGCGATCACCTACGCGGGAGAAGTCCTGGCACGGCGGCGCCGCGGTGAACAAGATGATGCACTCGGCCTGGGCGTCGAGGTGTCTGACCTCTGCGGCGATGTCCTCTGGCGTGTCCTCGGTGATGTCGCCGCGGTGCCGAATGCCCGGTATGTGGTAGTCGGCGACCTGTATCGCCGCTCGGTCCACCTCCCAGGCGAAGATGGCCCGGGGCTCGCCGATGAGATCCCATGCCAGCCACGGCGCCGCCCCCACACCGTCGAAGGCCGGCATCACTATGACCTCGGCGCCGGAGGGAACACGCGCTGATAGCCTAAGTTTCTTCGGCGGCTGGTCGGGTACCTCGGCGTGGGCGTCGCCCTCCTCCGAGGCCCCGTGCTGTCCCTAGCGGCGGCCGGCGCCCTTGCCGGCGCCCGGTCGCTTCCAAGGTCTGTCGTTCCCGTCGGGGTGTTGGTGTCGCTGGTCGGCACCGCCGTGGCCCCACCAAGTCTGCTGCTGCTGGTGCTGTTGCTGCTTGCCGCCGCCCCGCGTCGACCACCATGTCTGATCCTGCTGGTGTGCGGCGTCCGTCTTCTTCGGCTGGTCCTGGTCCTTGCCGTCGCGGCCTTTGCCCTTGGGCTTCCCCGGTCGACGGCGCTTGCGGCGGTTGCCGCCGCCCCATGTGCTGGCTCCCGGGTCGTCATAGTCCTCCGCCGCGGCGTTGCCGGGATCGGCTGGCGGCAAGGCGGGCGGTCGCCGCGGTGGCACGGCGTGAGTGATAATCACCTCCTGCCAGGTCGCGACGTCGTTCATGACGGTCTTCGCCGCCTCGCCGAAGGAGGTGCTGTTCCGGAGCGCCATGGCGATGGTCCACGCCGTCTTGTGCCAAAAGGCCTGGATCGCTGGCACCATCTCGGCGTGCGCTCTCGCCTTGGCCACGAACCAGTCGACATACCTCATCACGTCGTCCTCCTCGCCGATGCCCAAGAGGATCCATGCCCACCTGGCGGCGTTGGCCCCGTCGATCGTCGACAGAAGTCCCTTCGGCGACCATTCGGAGGGTTCCTCGGGCACGAGGGCGCCGTGCTCCAGTCGAAGTGCTTTGGAACCGGCGGATTTCGCCGCACGGTCGGCGGCCAGGGGGTTAAGCACCCGGCCGGGCGTCCACGTACGACGGCACACAATCTCGCCGAGGGTGACCGGCGTGTACATTTTGGTCACGGTGTGTTCGAACCACATCCGCGCCAGTACCTCCTCGGCGCCCAAGAGCTCCTGCACGGGGAAGGTGCGGCGTTTGCCGTCGAGCAGCCTGCCCTCAAACGCCGTCACCTGCTGAGTCCACGCCGCAAAGGTTTTCGGCGGTCTGTCAGGGATGTG